CATCTAATTCAGGCTTTGTGGATCACAATGTTGTTCCTATGATTTTCTAGATTACGAAAAGGTAGGTGTTGCAACATTGAGCATTGCAACAGCTAAGTTCCTTTGTGGATCTGGGCGTTGGCCCATTCATAGGCCTTCAGAATGCAAATTTAAACAGGAAGTGTGTGTGTAATTCTGTGCACATTAAGGCTATGTCTACCCTGCAAGCTAGGGGTGTGAATTCTCTGCACATGTACATATACTCGTGCTAGCTCAATAAATAGAAGTGTAGTCATGATAGTATGGGTAGTCGCAGCGGAGGCAAAGCTGAGCCAGGCCAAGTATGAACCCACCTGAAAGTGATGGGTATTTACTTGGCATGGTTCAGCCGTGCCTCCGCTGCAGCTACCCATGTTAGCAAGGCCACACTACCGTTTATACTCATGCTAACTTGATGAGAGTTAGCGCAAGTATGTGTACACAAGCAGGGGAATGACATCCCTTGCTCATTGCATAGACATGAAGATTGATGTACGGGGCTCAAGCAAGTGGTTGTTACAGACACAGGTACCCAATCTTTGTTAGCACTACAGGCAACTTTGGCAGCTTGCTGGTAGTCTCAGCCCTACAATATATTTCCTTGTAATATTATTTGGGAACAGCTAACTAACTAAATGCCTGTATCCACAATAGTGACTTGCACTAGGGTCTTTCTTGGTAGAATAGAAGTTGGATGGTGGCTAAGTTTGTCCAAAACAAAAAAACATGTGATTGATCAGCTTTGCCTTGCTGGAGGGCTGTAGGCAAAGCGAAGATATGGGCACAATATTAGGATTCCAAGGGCACCATTTGGCCCTCTTGCCACACATTAGTCAATGCTAGTCCATAGGGATGATAGTAAGTGTGCTTGTAAGTGAAATTTTATGCTCCTGCTGAAGTCTACATGTAGCTATAATTTGGAGTTTTCTTTAGGTTTTTAATTTTTGGTAATGAAGGAGTAATTGCAAGAGTTGAGGATATAATCATTTAGGCAATTTTCATATTCCACAGATGTGCTGAGCAGAATGTGTTTACATGTGAGTTGAGAAGGAGCAAATTATCCTATTGATCCTTACGGGAAAGGAAAGAAGAAAGGAAGTGCTCTTTTTTTAAAAAGTCGCATATGTTCAAGAAAAAAACTTTAATTTTTTTAATAGATCACAAGATAACAGAAGGGCTGTTGAGAAATGAAGACCGCATTGGTTGGTGGTGGACAAAGGAAGAGAGATTGCGCTAAACCATCTTTCATACCTCAACGTACTATAGGTTCTCTGTGTGGATCTGCTACTAGAGGAGGACATGATATATTTTACAAGAACATTTGTATAAGTGCCTCAACTGTCCTAAAAAAGCTTAGAACCTCTCAGGATGTGTCCCATCGTCAGTCAGCAGCCTTTTTTACTTTCTATAGCTCTCATTTCAGAGGTATTAATATTGTACATTTGTGAAAATAATGTGGGACCAAATCCTGGGACCTTTGCATGAGGCAAAGATGGTTTGGCCTGAAATGTCTGACTTGGACAGTCCCAATTTAATGAAAACTCAACTGCCCTGACCTAAAGGATCAAGAGGATACTGAAATGCATTATATAATATTTTAGCAGCTTAAAGGAAAATGTCCGAGTGGACCCACCAGAAATATTGATAATATGGCGGCCACTCCTTCCCCCTCACTGGATCTTCCCCATCTCTCACTTATTGCCAGTTATATTGGCATGAGGAGGGAAGGAATTTGGAAGAGAAGTGTCCATTCAAGGATAAAAGGGGTGCATGTGGCTTTTTGGCTTCCGCTGCTTCCATTCCTACATATCCTAGGAAAATGCTTTAATTCATAGTGGTTTGCCACTTTTGTAATGCTGGTTTAGTAACAGGTTAAAAAGCTGTGGTTCAGTGGCTTAAAAATAAAGTTGCTGAAAGTGTGCAGGTTATCAATATATTAATTAGAGAGCAGATAATGTAAATAGGTACACAAGTTCTATGTGTTTTCTGTGTACAAACTGGATGATAGTGACAAGAAGGAAAAGTACAAATGCTGAACGCTGGTAAAAAATAAAAAAAGTTTTTGTTCTTCTGTCAGTTATACTTACATTCCAGCCCCTTTGCTTGGGCTGATGTCAAGGGTTTGCTAGCCTCTCTTGGATGTATACTGGAGCATGGGATATAACAAGATCAATCCTCGATCTTTAAAACAACAGAGTTCTATACTGTAAGTGGCAGATATTATCTAAAATATCATCCTGGATCCCCTTGGACTTTCTCCTCCTCTCTTCAAACTACTCCATTCAAATGCTTGCTTTTCCATCAGTCTTAAAAATGTTTAGCGTTTGTGATGAGCAAATTTTGTGGGTGGTATTTGAAGTCCATTTGGGATAAGGCCGTGTATCAAAGTTACAGGCAAAACAGGTTTGAGATTTTAAAAATAAGACCTTTTAAAATATGCAAACCATTTAAAGTCTAAAATATGACACTGGCCTATGGGATGCATGCACACATCCTAGTGCTCCTATTATGTCCTTTGTGCCTATAGGACAGCTGCAGTAGCCGGGCACATAGCTAGTAGTGAGCATCTGACCTACAGGAAGTCAGATACAAGTCATCCTGTCTCCTTGGGAGGGGTAACAGACATGAGCATCACAAGATCAGGGAAGTTCATACGGCTTTCTCCACAATAGCTAAGAAAGGCTCCTAAAAGGGGAAAGGTGTGTCCTCTCCCTGCTGAGCTGATGGAAGCTGGGACAGCTTTGGATGGCTCCAACTCAGCTTTGTGAGTTTATTTCCTCTTGTTTTGGAACTCTTGTTTGAAAATAAAGCCAGCCCTGAAAAAAGGAGTTTGGACTGAATGGAGTTAGGAGCTACATTCTATCTTCCCTGACTGCTTAGTGTACTCCCTAGCTTATACCAAGCATTTGCAGCTCAGGGAAATTATTTGTCTTTAAATATCATGAATTATGGTGGAGAAGAGACAAAGTTATGGTTCAAAGGGGAAAAGAAGAACTTTGATGGGTAAAGCTGCCTAAAAGGCTTGCAGCAGGAGCTGACCCGTCACACTTATTCATTCTAGGGTTGTCTCTGTGCTGGGAATTAGCCCTTATTACAGGTGAACCAGTGGTGTAGTTGAACTGGTGCAGTTCCTAAGGCAAAGCTGGTGCTGCATTGGTGGAATGTATCCTGATTTCAAGATAGAATTTATCTTGATTTGAAACAGGGTAAAATGTATTGGTGCAAATGGTAGTTCTGCATGTCCGCTAGGGTTTTGCACTGGAGTAGCTGTCCACCAATGGCTGTAACTGGAGCAAACATCCTGCTTAGGGAGCATAAGGGCTAAAGAAAAGCAGTTAAGTAAGTGAAAAACTAGCTATCGTGCAAATGAAGCTGAAATACTGAGAACTATTTTCAGACTGGCATGTGAGGCTGCTGTTCTCATTTTGGTTATTTATTTTCCCCCTCTAAAAGCCTTCATTGGTTTGGCCAGCAGCCAAGGGAGGAATTGCACTCTGACAGTTCTGCCTTTTTATTATCCTATCAACTACTCTTAACCGCACAATTAAAGCAGCTTCTTTTCCACTAACATGCTCTTTCCCTGGTATCTTCCATCAAGAAATTTCTCTGAGCTTAAATACTTGAATTACTGCTTCAGGAGGACAGTTGAACATTTTTGGTTATGCTGAGATCACTTCAGGTTATTTTTCCTAATAGGTTGTTATGACTTAAAGAGTTCCACAGACTCTGATACAGTAGCATCCAAATGAAGTTTCTACGTCCACATCCAGAGTCTGGCAGCGGGTTTCAGTGCGTTGTCTTCACCTCCCCATGCACGCTTTTGTTTTCTTTTTTAAAGCATAAAAAATTTTCTGGGTATTTCCAAGATGCGCAGCACACTTCATTTTCAGCTGTCAGTATAGCTGACAGCTTATTGTGGTATCATGAATAAATTTTTCAAGGTCTCACACCTAAAACAAAATCAGCTTTTGCTTGCTTTTTTTTAAAGCTGACATTTTAAGTTTATATTAAACATAATATCACCTTGATACACACTGCATGAAAACGTAGACTACTGGGAATGAATTATTAATGCAACGTTTTTACTCTCTCAGGTGTTCTGAAGTTACCGTACAGGCTACAAAGGGATGTGTTTGAGAGAGAATTGGTGGCTTATTAGACATATAATAGGCTACAGTACCTGCCATTGTCATAGCTCAGCAGCTTTTCTCCTTAAGGCAAAGTTCTCTATTGCCAGATGCTGTGTAGAGACAATGGTGCAAGTAGAAATCATTTCTTGCCGGTACTGCACTAATGGGAGGGACGCAAGGGGGGGCCGTGTGACTTCGCCACATGACCCTCCATGTGACTCCTACACAACCCATCCCCTCTGACACCCCTCTTTGTATATACAAACATCAACATGCTTAACTACTCACTTTCCCCCCACATATGTAGTATTCAGTCTGTTTATATGGAATATCAGAGTTGGTTGAGGAGCCATTTCAGCATATGTATGACTTATTAAAAGACAAATTTTAAGTAGAACTGTATCCTAAACTGCTTTATGGTATTGTACTCAAACATTGCATTTCAATGGGGGATCCAACTTCCTTTATAGGAACAGACTCCTGAAACTTTTACCAGTCCACAAAAGTGGTCCATAGTCATGCAAACAATCCCATTTGTATTCAGTGGGATTGGTCAAACGATTAAGGGTTTACAGGATTAGGTTCCAAGTTTGTAAATTGTTCTGGATGAAACTGACAATACCCGAGCTGTCAGATCAGAAGCAGCTTCATTTGAATAAAGGTGGGCAAATGTATGATAAGTCTTAGCTCCGTTGCTAAAATGAGGAACATATTTTCAGCAAAGTTTGTGGCAGATTCTTTAGGCAGCTGGTTTAAGGCTGTCGATGTCCGGCATTATAATCTTCACTTATAGTTCTCTCACCCACAAAACTGGAAAATGAGGCATTTGTTTTCTTTGTTTTGCTGCTCCAGTTCCAGTTAACAAAATGCACGTAAGACGAGTTTGGCTGCAAAGAAGAATTCTGTGTACACTGGGGACAACATCTGATTCCTGTAAGGCTGCAGAACTGACATCAGAATCCAAACATACTCTGGTCAGTGCAAGCAGAGACATTCCTCAAATGATTTGGACTTGATGTGATGCAGTATGGATGTCATGGATAATTCAGACCAATGGGGAGAAACAGAATCAAAAACACTGTTTAAGCACCTTCCATCCCCCCACCCCACCCCTCCCCTTTTGAGGACTCCTGACCAACGTAACAGCATAATACATATGCTGCTTTGTTTAAATTTGTTAGCATATGTATTGTGCTATTAAAGCCCTTTAAAGAAGGAATGCCCTCCCTAGACACGTTCTGCTCCTTTAAGGAGCAGAGCGCAGCCCCCCCCCCCCGGAGGGGGGGAGGGGGCTAGCCCCAAATCTTTCTGGTACCCCGTACCTGCTAAAAATCTCTTGCTGGTACTGCGTACTGGCGGGTACCACCCTACTTGCACTCCTGCATAGAGACCTCTAATCATGTTGTGCAGGGCAACAGTAGTGCTATGGTATGTGTGTTTGTTTATTTTAGGTCTCTTCTTGGTAATTCTAGTATGACTGCATATCCAAGGTTCTTTATAGTTTAAAGATAGTCAGTACTCATAGAATCTAATTAGCCACTGAGTTCAGTATAGTTTTCTTAATGGTGATATTTAAAGTATGTCAAAGTTTAATCTTGTTCTAATGATATCTGAGCAGCTGTCAGTCTCCATGCATCTCTGTGAGATTCTTTGAAACATTCAGGCTGCTCATAACTAACCAGAGGAATGAACTGTAAATGTTCAGTGAATGTGCTGGTACGTGCCTTAGAAATAGCATTGATGGATAGGTAGCAAAATCACTTATAAATAAAGGTTGCAGGGTTTGGCTCCTATTCTTGTGGTTTGGTTATACTGGTTTAAAATTTTAGCTCATTGTATCTTTCTAAATAAGTTCCTGAAGAGCATCATGGCTAATATTGTAGCATTAGGACTCCCATTGATTGTAGTGGGCTTTGAATGAGGCTGTAGGTATTTGGTCACTTAGCAAATGGCCCAACTTGATGATCACTTTAGGTAAGCTGTTACCAGCAGGAGAGTGAGTTTGTGTGCGTGTGGGGGTGAGAAAACCTGGATTTGTGCTGGAAATGGCCCACCTTGATTATCATGCACATTGTAGGGAGAGTGGTCACTTTGGATAAGCTATTACCAGCAGGAGAGTGAGTTTGTGTGTGTGGTTTTTGGAGGGGGGTGAGGGGGTGAGAGAACCTGGATTTGTGCAGGAAATGACCCACCTTGATTATCATACACATTGTGAGGAGAGTGGTCACTTTGGATGGGCTATTACGAGCAGGAGAGTGAGTTTGTGTGTGTGTGGGGGGGGGGGGGCGGAGGGTGAGAAAACCTGGATTTGTGCTGGAAATGGCCCAACTTGATGATCACTTTAGATAAGCTATTACCAGCAGGACAGTGGGGTGGGAGGAGGTATTGTTTCATGGTCTCTGTGTGTATATAATGTCTTCTGCAGTTTCCACGGTATGCATCCGATGAAGTGAGCTGTAGCTCACGAAAGTTCATGCTCAAATAAATTGGTTAGTCTCTAAGGTGCCACAAGTACTCCTTTTCTTTTAGCATCAGAAGGTATTTCATACTTTTGGGTCTGATCAGACTCCCACTGAAGTGGGAGTTTCAGAATTCCAAATTACATATCTATATAATAATAGGATCATAAAAAGACATCAACCACATCTGGAACAGTTTGAAAATTGTCACTGTCCAAATTATTTTTAAAATAGTATACAGTTTAAGGCCAAGATTTAAAATAAAAACAAAGCCTAAAGGTTGTTAAGTTTTACTGAGGTTAAAACTTTCAAAAGCACGTAATTGAGTTAGGAACCCAAGTTCCATTTTCAAAAGTGACTTAGGCACTTAGGAATATAGATAATGTTGACTATCAATGAAACTTATGCTCCTAAGTCACTTTTGAATTTAAGGCTTGTGCTTTTAAGGTCTTGTCCACATGCTGTGGTAATGCATACTATGTGCATGTGCTTTCTAAAGCGCACTAAGGTGTTGCAAATTAGTTGGTCAATATAGACCCTGCTGGTGCACACTAAAAGTTCCCTACTGCGCTTTATGGGAGCTCTGTTTCAGACAGCACTCTATTAAAGCTCACTAGGTAACCTTTAGTGAGCACAGCAGGGTCTACATGGACAAGTTAGTGCACCTTAGCAATCACACTCCCATAGTGCGCATTGCTGCACAGTGTAGACAAGCTCTAAGTCTCTTAGGTACTTTTGAAAAACTTATTTTTAGTGCCTTCAATAAGTGGTCTGTTTTTTTTTTTTCTTTTAAAGTATTGCTCTCATCAAACTGAGTTTGCACTGAGAACAAAATGGCTGCCATCTCTGGAAAAAAGGAGAGTTCTTAGAAATGTAAGGGTGTACTACTCAATTCCCCCCCCTCTGAACCGGTCAGGGGGGCCCATAAAACCCCTAAGCTTCTTTCCAGCTAGGTCAAAACCCCCAAGGTACAAAATATTACACCCGTTTCCTTGGAAGGCTCCACCACCAAACTAATCGGTTACGGGGAAGGTGTTTGGCTTTTCCCCCAAAATACTCCCAAAACCTGCACCCCACTTCCTGGACAAGGTTTAGTAAAAAGCCTCACCAATTTGCCTAGGTGACTACAGCCAGACCCTTGGATCTTAAGAACAATGAACAATCCTCCCAACACTTGCACCCCCCTTTCCTGGGAAAGTTGGATAAAAAGCCTCACCAATTTGCATAGGTGACCACAGACCCAAACCCTTGGATCTGAGAACAATGAAAAAGCATTCAGTTTTACAAGAAGCTTTTAATAAAAAATGAAGTAAATAAAATAAAAATCCCCCTGTAAAATCAGGTGGTAGATATCTACAGGGTAATTAGATTCAAAACTAGAGACCCCTAGCAAAACCTAAGTTACAAAAAAGTACACAGACAGAAATAGTTATTCTATTCAGCCAATTCTTTTCTCAGCCATTTAAAGAAATCATAATCTAACACATACCTAGCTAGATTACTTACTAAAAGTTCTAAGACTCCATTCCTGTTTGTCCCTGGCAAGAGCAGCACACAGACAACAGACCCTTTGTTCTCTCCCTCCTCCCAGCTTTTGAAAGTTCTTGTCTCCTCATTGGTCATTTTGGTCAGGTGCCAGCAGGTTACCTTTAGTTCTTAACCCTTTACAGGTGAGAGGCTTTCCCTGGCCAGGAGGGTTTCAAAGGGTTTCCCTTCCCTTTATATTTATGACACGCCCCCAAATCTCAGCAGGGTGAAACACGGCTGGGATTTCTTCCTGGGCTCTAGGAAAAACGAGTTAATAAGACACGCATCTCTAAACATACTACCAAGTACATAAAGACTAACAATATTTTCCACATCTCAAGGCGATTTTAACCAGTTGATTCTGGGAAACTTTCACGGGAGAGTGCATCAGCCACTTTGTTAGAAGCTCCTGAGATGTGTTGGACGTCGAAATCAAAATCTTGGAGAGCTAAACTCCACCGAAGAAGTTTTTTGTTAGTTTCCTTGATGGTGTGAAGCCACTTCAGTGCAGCATGGTCGGTTTGCAGGTGGAAACGCGTCCCCAAACATATGGGCGTAGCTTTTCCAGAGCGTAGACAATGGCGTAACATTCCTTTTCAGTGACTGACCAGTTGCTTTCCCTCTCAGACAGTTTTTTGCTGAGAAACACTACAGGGTGGAATTCTTGATCAGGTCCTTTCTGCATTAAAACGCTCCCACACCACGCTCAGATGCATCTGTGGTTACTAGGAACGGTTTGTCAAAGTCTGGGGCCCTTAGTACAGGGTCAGACATGTTCCTAAGTTGTTAAACTTCTGCCCCCTGAACAGCGGGCGTCAGGCTTGGTGTAACGCTGTAATACCAGAGGTTGACCTTTCTTTGATTTGGACACCCTTTGATACCTTTTTAGGGGCATAGTTCCTTGACCCACCGGTGTCCATAAGTCCCTGTTTGCCTATTTGACCTGCCTTACGTTACTCCTTATAAGTTTTGTAGAGTTCCAGGTGGTGCCCAGAACCAAAATCACCCAAGGAGGCTTCTCCTACGCTAGGAGACCATCTAAAGTCTTTGGAAAGGCGTGCTTCCCCAAAGGAGTACTAATTCATACAGGGTGTGAGAGGCTGACTTTCCTTGCATTCATCTAACCGCCAGTACCCCTTGGTTAAGTCCAAGGTAGAGATGAACGGGCCCCAGTTTCTCAATAGTTCTCTGTGGTGGCATTGGATAGTTGTCTGGGCAGTTACAGCTTTGCTACTAGTCCACAAAACTATTTCCCATCTGGTTTGGGAACTAGAACCAAGTCCCATGCATTTCAGAGGGGCGATTACCCCATGTAAATATCCTGATTCCGTTCTATAGCAATTTTATGAGGAGACAGTAAGGTTGGACCCTAATTGGGTGAGCATTACCTTGTCAATGGAGGGTATGTAGTCCTGGGGTGGCTGAGAACGTTGGCTACAGGCAAGTCCTGGATGGGCATCCCAAGGTCTGGAGTTCACCTCTCCACCCACCACATTTCCGTAGAAACACCACACTAGGCTCCCTGCGTAAATGACAAACCTTTAATTTCTGGAATAAAAGGGCTAGAAATTAATATGGTACACCTTAGGCTTTCGGTTGGAGGTGGGAGAGATAATTAAGCCAGGCTCCTGACGTGAACTTCCCACTCTTCCATTTTAGGGCCGACCCTTAAGACCAACCTGTCTCCTACTTTGAAGAACTCGCAGTTTATCATACCAGCTTTTTGTCTTTTGACTCTTAAGTTTTCTAGCAAGGAAAGAGGTTGGAGGTTTTTGAGTTGTTACAAGGTAAACCCCATTGCCCAACCACCCTTAACTCCCTATACAAGTTCAAGGGAAACCCTAAACGGGGGTACAGCGAGCAAAGAGCAACCGCAACCGTCCCATCTTGAGTCCATACAAATTAATCCCCCCAAAGTTCCATTAAATTCTCCACCATGCTTTGTTTGATGGTGGTAAGAGTGCAACAATATTTACCCAATTCCAAAGGTTTTTCATAGTTCTCCAAATTAGTCCCTGCATGGAGGGTCGGACCAACCTACCCTGAAAAATGTCGCAGCCGACACACACTTTTAGCCCTGTGTTGCTCAGATAGTTCCGCCATCGGGGCAAAATCCATGAAAGTCAGGTACTGCTCCTCTGGG